GGCAGCCGGCGGGCAGTTGACGCGGGATGGAGCGGGAGCAGCTGCTTCGGAAGGTGGCGGTGCTGCAGGTACCGGGCGGGCGGGCGCACGTGATTACCCCCATGGGATCTCGAACTGGGACCGTGGGCCGGGATAAGGCTTTCACGTTTAGTTACCTACTCGCGTGCCCACCTCTTGAGATACCGACCCACTCCCACCGCCCTGAAGGCTGGAACTCACGGATCCCTACGCACTCCCACCACATGCTCATGCAGGATCATGGAGATGGTAGGAAGGGGTCCTTAAATCGAAGAGAGGGATCCAGTCCAACGTACTCCCTTGAAGCCCAGAAGTCCCAGCGCACAACGTCACCTATCCTTTCCCGGTGGCCGGGTCCCCTCTGGCAGCCACTGGGATGACTTCCCCAGGAGAATCCCTAAAGATGCCTCCACTTTTGCAGTGATGAGGGTTTCTTTTCCGCTCCTTTTCCACATCAGGCCTGCGTCCGAGGTTTCCTGGTCCGACGCCACTTCCAGAGTCTACGGGCTGAGTATGAGGCTGTTGTACGAGAGATCGAGGGTGATCTGGGCACACTACAGTGGAATGAGGGCTGGATTCCCAGGCCCCAGTTTCTCCCACAGGTAGTACACACCCCAGGGGGAGAAGGGATCTGGGTAGGGGATTCAAAAAATGGTAGACCACCCTTCCTGCTGACAAGCTTTTCTCCATGGAAGAGGCAGCAGACTTACCTCCTCACACCCCAATCCTGAATCCCCACCAACTTGTGAGCTAAATCATGGCACCCAGATACTTAAAGGGTTTAGCCCTGGGGCACTCATACCTCTGACTGATTTCTCAGAAGGCAAAAACTCATCGGACCTGGAAAGCCGGAGAGAGGGTACCAAAGCCAGAGCAGGAACTATGGAGCTGCTTTCCATGTAAGGAGCCTGAGAAAGAGGCCATCCGGGAGAAGATGATGCTGAAGTCAGGAGAGAGCTCAGCAAACTCAGAAAGTCTTCACTGCAGAGATGACAGCCCCTGGCTTCAGGATGAGCAGAGCAGGAAAACCAGGAAACCCAGCCAAGAGGAGACCAGAGATATGTCAAGGATGGAGAACCCAGGTACCTTGCTGCCTAGATCAGGGCAAGCCCCTGACCCTCTCTGGACCTCCGCTTTCCCCCCTTAAAAGTGAAAGGCTTTTCCTAGATATGCTGCATCCCTATCTTCCTTCCTTCTGCCTGGTTGAGGGAAACTCATGGGTGGGCAGGGGAAGGGTGCCAGGGTCTAATGCTAGGCCATTGCCCAGTGTTTACCCCTCAAGGCTTTCTCCCTTCTTCCCCCGTCTTCACAGAAGCTGCAGGTCCAGGACTGCCCCACGGCCCGACTGAGCTCCAGGAGCTCCAGTACCGCCGCAGCCACTTGGCCATGGAACTGCTGTGGATACAGCAGGCCATCAATAGCCGTAAGGAGGTAGGCACTAACTTGGAGCCCTTTGTGCACATTTAGAGCCAAGGGTGGCAGTTAGGGGAAAGCCTCCTGCCATACCCATGCAGGCCTGCCTAGTACAGTGTCTTTTCTCTTCCCCAACAGTACCTAATTCTCAAACAAACAACACTGAGATCCCCAGAGGTGAGCCTAGACCACAGGGGACAGGCCTGTGAGAGAGCTGGGTCACAGCCAGGTCCACCACTGGAAGTCCAGTGCTACAGAGATCAGACAACTGGAGAGCAAGACCATGAGGATGACTCTTACTGGAGGCTCAAATCACCACCTCACATTTCCCCAGAAAGACTGGCCACTACAGATAAAACCACTGCTGGGGCCAAGTACAGAGACCCATGCTGCAAGAAAGTTGGACCACAGCTGCCCATACCATCAGATAACCAGGCCATAGAGAACAGGCTCACCAAAGAGCCACACCATGGGGAGCAGACCTTTGGAGGGACCTGCCTGCAGCTGACAAAAATGGAGGACCAGACTCCCAAAGGCCGTAAACCTAAAGGACACTGTTCTGCAAAGGCCAGAATACAGCTGCCCACACTCTGTGCGGACCCAAATATTGAAGATAAGTCTCCCAAAAGGACAGACCACAAAGAGCCTGATTGCCAAAGAGGTAGGCCACAAGAATTGGGCCTCTCAGAGAACCGTATCATCTGGGATGGGCCTTTGGCAGAACATAGTAGTCTGGATCTCTGGAAGACTAAACCACCCAAGGGCCAGACTCCCAGTAATAAAAGCTCCAGAGATAGAGCTTCCAATGAGCCTAGCTCTGAAGGATGGAAAAACCAGAGGACTGGACCATGGAGATCAAAGCCACCTGAGAAACTGTCTTTTACAGGGTCAGACAGCATAGGAGAGAACCACTGGAGGGGCAGGCTGTGGAAAACAGGGCCACCAGGCTAGACCCTGGGGAACCAGGGGGGGCTCAAGTTCCAAGGGATGGTATGAAAGGGCAAGGAGACAGGTCCTCATCCTAGCTCCCAGGTATGAGCTCTACCTCCTGCCCCTGGCCATTGGTGGCCAGTGTGGCCAAGAGAAGCTGGAGCAGAGAGTTGGCACCAGTACAGGGAGAGGGAGGACACTTTTTCATCCTCTGCCTGTGGCTCAATTCAAGTTTCAGGACAGGGGAGTTACCTGAATAAGTAAAGTGGGAGACCTGATGGAAAATAAAGGTTTTTCTTGGATATTGAGCCCGGCTGCATTTATTTTCTGCCTGTAGTTAGGACACTTGGCCTTCCTGTCACTGCCTACTGGCCTGGGGCGTGTGCCCCAGAGCTGGCTGGGAATAGACCAGCCATCATTGGGAAACAGCCTCCAAAGCTGATCCTCCTTTGAGCTCAGCCCTTGGGCTGAGAGTGGCAAGGAGGTTCTGAGAAGTCCTCCCTCTACCCAGTATTGGACCATCTGTATTTCAGTGTGATCTCTGCCACTGCCTCTCTCACTCAGCCCCAGCATCTTCCTTCACATACAGTGTTCACACCCTCTGTACTCTTTTGAGGCCCCACCAAGGGCAGATTGAACAAGATCCTGAATGGAGATAGATGTTCCTGCTGAGGCTCTCCCTGCATTCCTGAGTGAGAGGACAGGCCTCCACTTCTGATTGGCACTGCTCCCAGGCCTGCCTTAGTTGCCTGGCAACAGCTCTGCGTCTCTAGCTGAGAATACACTATGGCAGCCAAGAGGGTAGTGGTGTACCGGAATGGGGACCCTTTCTGCCCAGGCCGCCAGCTGGTGGTCACTCAACGCCGCTTCCCTACCATGGAGACCTTCCTTAGTGAGGTAACATCAGCTGTGCAGGCCTCAGTAGCTGTTCGTGCCCTGTACACGCCTTGTCATGGCCACCCTGTCACTGCCCTGGCCGACCTACAGAACGGAGGGCAGTATGTGGCTGCTGGCTTCGAACGATTCTGCAAGCTCCCGTGAGTAGGCTGGGGCTAGTCAAAGAGCCTGGGGAGGAAGGTGCCAGCAATAGCAATAGCACATGTTCAGTACTTACTATGTATGTGCAGACAATTGATATGGTATAAATGCAGCAACCTTATGAAGGGGGTGGTCTTGTCGCCATTCTTTAAAAGGATAAATTTAGACCGTAAAGTTAGGTAACAAGTAACAAATAGTGGAGCTACAGTTTGAGTTGAAGTCTGACACGTTTATGCCCATCACAGCCAGGACCAGCCTGAGAAGGAAAACAATTCTCCTGCAGGCTAAGACCCTTTTACCAAAGGCTCTTCCTGACTGGATCCTCTCCCACCACCAAACACTAAATTCATCCGTCACTCCACCCTGCTGTGTGAGGCATCCCGTGCTCTGCATTAGGCTGGGGTCATCCCCCTTGGCAGGGTGGAGTGGTGCCTTCCAAGATGAGAGAAGAATTTGAGTATCAACTTCCAACTAAGATCTGGCTTCCAGGTCCTATTCCGCTCCCAGCTGAAGTTACTTGCTGTAATTTAAGGAGCAAGGGATTGAGCACTAGAGAGAATCAGAATCAGGGCTTTGTCACTTCTTTGTTACTTTAGGTGAGTCACTTAACTTTGAGTTTCATACAGAATGAGAGAAAACCACCTACATCATGAATGAGAAATTTTCTGAGATACAGTAGAATGCTTAATGAGCTAGTTTCTGTCGACCTTTAATCTTATGGTTTGTGTCAGCCTGACTCAGGACACTAAGACAGCTTCCAGGTGCCAGCATCTGTTTCTGGACTGAGATGATTGAGACTGTTCCAATGGGACGGGATGGCTGGTGAGCTGCTCCAGCCCTGAACTTGAACTCTGGCAGCTACCCTGTATGACTGTGTGACCTATGTCCTTTCAGCTATTTGCCCCCAGGAAGGAAGGATCTAGGTGAGAAAGGCAACAGATTACCGGTAAGTCTTCACCCCTCTTGGGATTGCCCCCAATTTTGTCTGGGAAACCAGGGACCCTGGAAAGGGGAGGACCTGCCAGTCCCATAGGGAGAGTCTCCACACCTGGAACAGCTGCTATGCTTCCTGGGTGTAAGATTTCAAGGCACTATCCCTTGCTCCTTTCCCAGCCTTTCACTCGATCTCCAGGCTGTGATCCCTAAAGGAAAGAGGAAGCTGTGAAACACATGGGGTAGGGGGTGGTTAGAATGTGACTTAGGGAGATAGAAGCACCCTTTGATGAGGGTATGACCCCCTCTCCTGCCCCAGTCTGGTTCCTTTCCCTCACCCTACCCACCTTGGACTGACCCACCCCTAACCAAAGACCTCAACTCTCATCTGACTTGGGTTTCAGTGTTGTCCCGTGTCTCAGCACCCAGGTGATGGGGCCCTTGGATGGAGGCTACCTACAAGTTCCTCCTGCTATATCCAGTAAGTGCTGGTGTTGGGAGCAGGGGCATAGATTTTTGTTTCAGTGAAACCAAGAAAATGTGTGTGGGTTTGTTTCAGGAGCCCCTGGGCCCTGGTGGGGATATAAAAAGTCCAACATGCTTAATGGGTGAAAATGGACCAATGCGCTGGTTGGTTCTTGGACCATCTTCTGACTCCTGTGCAGCCTTCTTTCTTTAACACATAGGAAGTTCTGGGGACCCTTCCCCATACCAGGCTGCTCTTTGTCCCAGTGTGTTCAGGAATGGGGACCTGTTAAGTCCCCCATTTGGCCTGAAGCTGTCCCAGGCTGCCAGTGAGGACTGGGAAACAGTGTTGAGGCTCCTGACCGAGAAGGCCGAATTACAGAGTGGAGCTGTGTGCAAGTGAGTATGGGGACTGGGGAAGCCCAAAAGTCTGCTAAGGGAGTGTCCTTCCTGGTTTTGGCCGTCCTTGAGGATGAAAAAGCAAAAGGAAAGCACATTTCCCCAAATGGGATTTCCTTCTGTACCACAGGGAGAGGCCCCTCTAGCCCAGCTCTTGGAGCCAGGGCAGAGCCTAGGTGACTGGCCCTGGTGCCTGGAGGACCAGTGGCCAAAGAGTACCTTGGAATAGCTGTACCCACCCCCTCACAGTCTGCCGAAGAGGCATCTTTTCCAGTGGCCCTTATCCGCTCACCTCTCCCTCCTAGACTCTGCACCCTGGAGGGGCTCCAGCTGTCAGCAAGAGCAGCTCTGGTGAGTGGCCGCTACTATGTGGCTGTTGGAGAAGATGAGTTCAAGGCCCTCCCCTACCTGGAGCTGCTGGTGCCCAGCCCCTCAATGCCCAGGGGCTGCTGGTATGTATGTGTGCAGTGGGGGGGTAGCTGGTTAGAGCAGATTAAACCACCCTGACCTCATGCTTCCTCTGCTTACTACAAGTCTTTTCTTTTTCGTTGCAGGCATCCTCCAGACCCAAAGTCTAGGCCCCACAAGCAGGCGGTAGGTGATGTGTGAGGCCAAAGGAGCTTGGGGGAAGGAAGGAGAGTGACTGGCTGACTCCTCCTCCAGCTCAGGCTCTGCCCTTATCTCACTGCATCCTCTCAGTAATCTTGTGAAAGAGTGGTTATTATTCCCATTTCAGGAGAGATTGAAGTTGAAAGGAGTGAAGTAATTTGTTCAGGGTGACACAGTTATTGAGGTGTAAGGGCCAGAGCAGAACCTGGTCTGAAAGTCAGCTCATCCAGGCTCTCTGAAGATCTTCAGGACTCTGACTTCCTGGACCTAATGCCTTCTCACCAGCTTCGATGCTGAGAGAGAGAAGTTGCATATCTGGTACAGCAAGATCCAAAGGAGCTTATTTCCCATGAGATGAGCCAGTGAGCATCAGATGGGGTGTAGGGAGGCATGGCCTGGTTTCCATGGGCTTCTTGAGTGCCAGGCACAGGCTGCTCTGTCCCCAAAAAGGCAGCCTGATGGGAAGAGGGAGCAGGGGAGGAGAATACAGGCTATGAAGATGGACAGCATCTCCTCTCCAAGCTCCCACAGGCACCAAGGGCATTCAAGCCTGGACTGGGAGCAGAGAAAGTAAGAACAGCCAGTGCCTGTGACCCATGCTCAGTGTCCCCTCTACAGGCCCATGGCCACAGGGCACAGGAAACCCAGTCGTCTCCAAAGGAACCAAGCCAAATTGAGCGATCTGCTTTCTATGCCAGACCCCAGCAGGCTACTCAGCCAAGAAGCATGCTCCCCACTCTCTCATTCCCATCAGGTGAGGGGCCCCAGGACCCAGGCCCTTCTCAGCCACCTTCTCACTGGGACATGGCATGGTCCCTGTTTTTGTGGCGATGGTCCATGGAGCAGAATGCTAGCCCTGACCTCAGCAGAGCTTTCTCCCATGTGCATATTCAGTCCCTCATCTCTCTCTCTCTTTTAATCCTCACCCGATATGTTTTTTATTGACTTTAGAGAGAGAAAGGGAGAGAGAGAAAAAAACATTGATGTGAGAAACATCGATGGGTTGCCTCCTGTATGGGCCCTGATTGGGGATCAAACCCATAACTTAGATATGTGCCCTGACTGTGAATTGAACCCGCAGCCTTTTGGTGTACGGACAACACTCCAACCAACCGAGCCACCCAGCTAGGGCCAGTCCCTTGTTTCTTTACAGGGACTTGGCATATGGAAAGAAGCCCATGGAAACTCAAAGAAATGAGTGGGATTCGGAAGGGATGGGGTTGGGGGTCAAAGGCTGCTTCTGAACTACCCTGCCATTCTCTGAGGTAATGAGGAGCAAGGCTCAGGGGAGGGGAAGGAGCTGGTAGAGAAGGTCAAGGGAAAGAATGCTGAGGGCTCCTCAGCCTGGGTATCAGCCGATGTTATCCCCCTCATCAGGAATCAAGGGAGTATATGGGGCTCCCCACCCAAGGAAGGAGACAGAAGGGGCCCAGGAAGTAGCAGATGATGAAGACACCTGGACAGAGGAACCCTTGGATCAGGTGGGCTGGGGCTGGAAGCAGTATGTTGGGACAGGCGGAATTCTGAGGTGAACAGAAACTGTCAGCCCTGGGTCCCAGGAACAGTTCTTCCCCGTGTCTGAGAGCAGATCTAACATCTCAGAGCCCCACTTCCTACCTTGTTAAATGAGAGGGCAGATCCTAATTCCTAAAAGTCTCTTCCTTTCCTGGGATTGGGAAACTCAGCTGAGGGCTGGATGCTGGACATGGGATGCTAGTGGCTCCGCTCTCTATGGCCTTCCTCCTCCTCCAGATGACAGCTCAGATAGTGGAAGAGGCCGTGTCCCTGGAAAACCAGCCTGGGGCTGGGGCAGTAATCTCAACCTCAGCCCCTGCTCTACTATCTTGAGAGCAGCAGCCCCAACCAGGAACTGGGGACCACCACTCTGCAGCCCCCAGCAGCCTGTTCCAGAGGAACCAGTGACTCCCCGGGGCTCACAGGGTATGCTTCAGCCCCCTCAGACACTCCCCATTCTTCTGATCTAAACCCACAGCCCAGTCTTCCTTTGCTCTCCGAGCAGAGCAATCCTAGCCACAGAGGCCATTTCCTATGGGGTTCTCTGGCCAGAGAAAGGAGTAGCCAACTGAGCTTGGGAGAGATCACAAACTGGGGAGTGGGTCTGTCACAATAAAAGAATACTTACTAATGTCCGTCTGTTTACTATAGATTTATTACAGGCTACTACTCACCAGGCATTGCACCAAATGCTGGAGTTAGGCAGTGCTGGGGCTCACAAGTGTCTGTTTCAGACGGGCGGTACAGTTGAGGATTTCCACCCACCTCATGGGTAGGACATGCAAGGCTAACAGCTCATCTCCCCTACATCTGCCATTCTGAGGCACCTTCCTCCCCTCGGTTCCCCCCCACTGCCAGCCAAGGCTTTCTGACAATCCTGGAGGCCTCCTGTTTGCATTTCTGGCTTGAAGATGAGCTGGCCCTCTCTGTGCAACTGAGGTTCTGTAGTCCATCCACCCTGCTGCTGTGATAGTCCAGATCAGGCCATAGTGATAGTGTCTGGGCAGGGGGCCTAATGTGACAGCAGGAAGAGAGCTGCTGGGGCCGAAAGGTTGCTGAGGTTGAGTGTGAAGTCTCCTGTGCTAAATCCTAGCTGTTGAACAGCTCTTGAAAGTTACAAAACGCTTTCACTCTTATTCTCTTATTGTGATCCACGAGGTAGTGACTATCCCCATAGATGAGGAGGAAGCTGAGTGGGGAAGTGCTAGGTCCACCTGCTCACTACCTGCACCTCATGGCCCAAGGGGCTTCCTGGAGAGAGCAGAGCTGGAGGGTGGCGTTGGCTCACTCAAAGGGTAGACAGTTGTCCCTGGGTCTTGTTCACTGAGCTTGTGATGCAGAGTGTAATTCCTGCTATGGTGAGCACCATGCCTGCAAATGTTCCTGGGATAATGGGTAGAAATTGAGGGGCCCTGAGCCCAGCCATACCAGTAAGAGCTGGTGCAGGGATGGGGGAAGGTCCTCTCCTCACCCGCCCATGGGAGATGGCGCTGGGAAGGAACTAACCCAGGGGTGTTCAGGTCCAAGTAGCTGCTTCTCACACCTACAGTGGCCTGACTTACGTTTTCCACCAATGTCTTCTCCAAGGAACTTCCCGACAATCAGTGTGAAGACAATGGACAGAGAGTTACTGATGGGCACAGCTAGGGTTAGATCTGAGTGATAAGATTGAAAAGAATCACTGAGATGCAAAAAAATGTCTTTCTAAGCACATAACACTTTCATTTCATCATCAAGACAGCCTTTTTTTAAAAAATTGATTTTTAGAGACAGAGGAAGGGAGAGAGTAAAACATCGATGTGAGAGCGAAACATCGATTGGCTCTCCCTTGCACACACACCCTACCAGAATGGAGCCCACAACCTGGGCATGTGCCCTGACCGGGAATCGTACCCACAACCCTTTGGTGCACAGGACGGGATGATGCCTAACCAACTGAGCCACACTGTCCAGGGCTAGACAGCCTTTTTAAAAAATAAATAAAAAAGGTATCTCATTACCCCATTTCCCAGATGAAGTGACAGTAAAGCTCAGGATTCAAATCCAGTTCTGACTCCAAATTCAGTGCTCCCTCAGGATTCCAGCATGAAGACCTGAACTACAAAGTCTGGGACCACCCTGGTTTGCTGATAAGTACAAGATCTTTGCATTCAAAGAGAGCTCCTGAGATCTCAAGGACATCTGGACGGACAGGCACCCAAAGCCCAAAGGATACAGCAGAATGACTGCAATACCAAACACAGCCACCATTTATTAAGCATATATTATGTGCTAGGTGCTTTGAATACATATCTCATTTAATCTCCACAACAACACTGCTTTGCATAGATAAAGGAAACAAAGGGTCAAAGAAGTCACATAAATTGAGGCAAATTGAGGATTTAAACCAAGACCTGCCTGACTCCAAAGCTGTACCCTTACCGAACTAATGGATATGAACAACCCAAAACAGCAGGTCAAACACATTCTGTTTCTGTTTAAGCTCAGGCCTTGTGGAGTTAAAGAAGAGAAAAAAATATCAAAGGTAGGAGGCCAGGTACCTGCTCAGGACAGGCCTCACAGGGCTGGGCCTTAGGTAGAGGTCACCATAGCCCAGGATCTATTCCTTAGTTTTGAATTTCCAAAGAACTGACTCCCAATAAACAAACTTGAAAAAGACTAACGGAGTTAACAACACAGTTAACTTAAAAGGTATTACACTTAAGTTTTGTACACTTGCTAAGAGGGTAGATTTCATGTTAAGTTTTCTTACCACACACATACCAAAATAAAACAAAACACTAAGCTGAGTTACTTGTTTACAACAAAACTCACAACAGCCAGGCAGATGTGGGTTCCTCAGTACATTCTTTCCCAGCACTCCCAGGCCTCACCTGCTTCAGTTAGAGGAAAGGAGTATCTCGCTCCTCATCCCCTCCCAGGCCCTACCATAGCTGGCATTACCCATCCAAGAAACTGACACAACTCCTACTACTCAGAGCTACTTCCTTAAGTTTACATATCTCCCACTGAATGCCACTGCTGCTGAGGACTGGTCTGCAACAGTAGATGAGAGAGGGAAGCAACCGGTCAATGGAAGAGCAAGGGCACTGGAGTGAGGCAGACATTGGTTTCCCTATGGAATCTTGGTTAAGTCATTCAGACACTCTGAGCCTGTTCCCCATGTGTAAAACAGTGATAGCAAGATAACATCTCCTTACAATAGGGTTGTTGTAAAATGAAATATGATAATGCATGTAGAGACCCTGGCTGAAGAAGATGCTTAATAGTGACCACTGTTCTGATGATTAGATGGGTGGGTGTTAAAGGACAGAAGTAGAGTAGGTGGTGAGAACAGGATCCTAAAGCTGCAATTTGCTCAAAACTTGGTAAACTGGGGGGGGCGGAGGGGGGCAGGCCAGGCGTGCCTCAGTGGTTGAGCACCAACCTGGGATCCAGGAGATCGCATTCGATTCTGGGTCAGGGCACGTGCCCAGGTTGCGGGCTCGATCCCCAGTGGGGATGTGCAGGAGGCAGCCAGTCAATGACTCTCTCTCATCATTGATACTTCTGTCTCTCTCTCTGAGCTCCCTCTCTGAAATCAATAAAGATATATCTTTAAAAAAAACAAAAAAGCTTGGTAAATGGCTAAGTACTGTCAGCTGGCCAGAGGGTTCAGCATTCTTGGGACACAGGGAGTGCCATAGGCTTTCAAACTTTCTTTTAAAGGAAGCATTATGAGAAGCCCAAAATGTAAAACAGATGAAAGTAGAGTGACTCTAGCTGAAGCCAAGGTGGCAGGTCTGGAGGTTGCCTAACCCTCACCCTCCCATGGTTTCTGAGGGGTTCCCCAAAACTATTTGGGGCCCAAACTCCCCTCAAGTCCCTGGTGGACCTGGGTAAACCTCCAGGAGAGGTGAAGCTACAGCAGAGGGACGTCTCATAGCAAAGTTTAAAAGCATAAACTTTAGGTAACATACAGCTTCAAATCCTTCTACACTGACATGCTATGTAGGATTTAAAATGAAACAAGTTGCAAAATGAACCTTCCTTTTTCCTCTGCTGCTGCACAAAACTGCCAGGCTTCAAACCGACCCTAGTACCTGGCACTGTACTGACAACCAGTCTGCTGTGCCCTACAGCTCAGAGAAGAGGGTGAGAAGACAGAACCAGAGACAGTGGGCTCTCCTTCACTCGTGGAAACAAGGTGTTGCAGGCACCCTCCTCAAAGTGACTCATGAGTGGCTTCCACCACTAAGCACAGCAGTTCTAAGGCAGAGACCCACCTGTTGATGCCAAGGTGAAGTAGTAGAGAAGGGAGCCACACTGGTTGAGGAAAAAGGGCACCAGGTACTGGAAACAGAAGAAATCCAGTCAGTGTGATTGCTTGACTGAGCAGCACTGCCTTCTTTGAGCTTCTAGCTATGCCTTTCCTTGGAGGGAGGAATAGCTCTAAGGACCCAGGGACCACTAAGCCCTCTGAAAAGGACTCTTCCAGGGCAGAAGGAAAGCTACTGACTAAACTTTATGCCTTTGCCCTGAATGCCCTCTCCCTCAGCCCTGCTAGTTCCCATCCTCCCCATCCTGCAAGGCCCTGAATGCCAATGTCACTCCCTCCAAGCCCTTCCCAGTCCCCTCACTCCAGCCTCCTTCCTCTGAACTCACACAGCACTTTATCTGTACCTCTCTTAACCCTTAGCCCTGAGAGGTGGTTGTGTCTGTTTTATCTTTCACAAACCTAGACTAGCAGTGCTGGGGTCGGAGGTAATTCCCCATAGCCTTCTTTATCCTTCCTCCTCCCTCTGGAAATGTCTGTTAAATCACCATAATAAAGTATCAAATAGCAGCCATAGATCGAGCACTAATTATGTACTAGGCCCACCTCACTTAATCTTCACAGCTGCCCTATAAGGTGGTTCCATTATTACTCCCATCTTACAAATGATGAAACTGAGGCTCAAAGGAAGACAAGTGATTTATCCAAGAGGTTCTAGTTGGTCAGTGGAGAGGCGTAGATTCTGACCCAGACCTATTTGACTCCAGAGACCAAATTCTTTTTTTGTGTGTGGTGTTTTGTGTGTGTTTTTTCCTTTGGGAAACCAAATTCTTAGCGGCTACCCTCGAGAGGTCATTCACAGACGCACCTCAATATTCAGGAAGAGAGTCTTCATCTCCTGCAGCAACTGCCGGACCCAGGTCCGCTCATGAACGTGCTGCAGGCGGGAGGAGGCCCGCTTCAGCAGCGGCTGTGTGCCACCCCACAGAGCGGCCACGAGCACCAGAGCCAGCACCTGCCCTGGATGACAATGCGAGTGACCCTCTCCCCGCCACCAAACCGCCGCTCGCCGGCCCCAGCCACCTCCAGTCTCCCATTCCTAGCTAACCGCCCCCACGCCCTGGGTGCCACTGGCGGGTAGGGCAGACCCCGGAAGGCTGGGGAGATGGATCCAGGAGCCCAGGACTTGGAGTCGTAGCAAGGGTCTGAGTTAGGTGATGAAAGTGGAGAGTAGGACATGAACCCTGGGGTAAGGGACTTGGGGAGTGGGAAGGGGTGGGTGCGAGAAGCCCACGAACGAGATGGGGCGCTTACACACCGAGAGACGCCGCCATGGCAACGCCGCTCCTTCCACTTCCGGGAACGAAAGGGCGGAGACCCATAATCCGGAAGTGGTGCAAAGCCTGTTCCGGTCCTCCTCACGTTGCTTCTTTCCCGGCGTCACCGCAGGGATGGTGAGTTCCACTGAGTTGGAGGTTTTGCCGTGGGGGGCCCGGGCCCGGGCAAGGGCCGATTCTGGGCGCTGACACTCCCGTCCTGTCCCCACAGAAGCCGATCCTGCTGCAGGGCCATGAGCGGTCCATTACGCAAATTAAGTACAACCGCGAGGGAGACCTCCTCTTCACGGTGGCCAAGGACCCTGTGAGCGTCGTCCGGAGGCCGGGCGGGCGGGACTCTTCAGAGGGGGCCCGGGAGGGGGCGAGTTCCTTTTGCCTCGGTGATGGGTGGACAAGCCAGTTTTGCCGCGAGCGGAGAACCAAAGAGCTCCCCATTCTAAGAAGTGGGGAATGACCAATCAGGGGGTGGTGGGCGAGAGCATTCTACTGGGAAAGGTGGGATAGAACTCTGTTGGTAGAAGAAGGGAGTAGCTGGGAAGAAGAAAAGCAAGAGACCATTGTGGAAGTGGGGCGGGACGACAGTCAGTTCGTCAGGGAAC